TTCGAGGTGAAATAGAAAACTATAAAAGCAATAATATGGACGAGATTTGATCTTCTCCTAACTAAGTTACTAACATCTACAAATTAAAATCTAGTTTAGATAATCGTGTTAATTTTAGATTGCAAGTGTGCTCTTGCTTCTTTTATACGGATCTTAAAAGCTTTTAGAACTGGTTTAGCAAACAAACCGTCCTACATTTTTAAGATTTTTAGTTATTTTCTTAATTATTTACTACTCCGTATTTAAGTTTTATAATAACATTATGTAATATGACATTTGAGTGTCATGCTTGCAAAATTGTTTTAGAAGAATCATAATTATCTTACCTTATAATCAACAATAATTATTAACAACAATAATTGTACAATGATCTAAAATGACAGCCAGGCAATGATTGGTGGATATTGTAGTTAGTTGTACAAATCATAAAATATCTATTGTTCCTAGTGAAAAAAGGCAATATATGAGGAGGGTGTATTTTGTGGAATTTTAATTTTGTAAGGAAGAATAATTGTTGCTTCAAGTCATTCTCAATTATTTAATTAGTGAAGCAAATTGATTCCTTAATTTGAATAAGATTGCTTACGAAGAGAAAGATTCAATAATGAATATTTCAACAATTCTTTAAAATATGTGGGTAGTAGCTAGAGGTCTATTATTGGTCTTTTCAGCATGATGCATGACAAATATATAGTGAATTTGATGCACACTGGTTGGAATTGCAACTAGGATGTTTTAATTCAGGATAATTCGGTTGTGGTTATAAGCTAATGGTGTATTAGTCGATTTAGACCGTGTATGGATTTGAGTTGACTAATCGAGTCGAGTTTACTAGATTTTAAAGGCAATGAAGTTTATAAGAAATATAACACACATAAATTTAAGGTATACATTAACCTATCTAGTTATTTCTGCGTGCATGTTTGTTGCTGAATAATATGGTGCATAGCAATATTTGACACACTTAGATATTCTTCGAATTCCGTACAAATAGAAGAAAAATGATACTCGTAAAAATAAATCAAAAATAAAAGATGAAGACGAAAAGGTGAAAATCTGGAGATGAAACGCATGTACTAATTACGGAATATTTGTTATCCTTTTGCCAAAAGCTACAACTTAAAGAAGGATTGGTGGAAGAGGGGAGGTGTTCCAAACGGAGGGTTGTGAGACAAAGAAATTATGTCTCACAAGGGCAATATAGGCATTTCAAACGTCATTTTAGAGATGTCTCATTGAGCAGTTAAATCATACCACTGGAACTTCAGTGGTACAAAATACACTCTCAGTGGTATAAAATATAGTTTCAGTGGTACTCAAAAAAATTCAACTAGAGTTTCAGTTGAACAAAATATAGACTCAGTGGTAGTGGTCCTCTTAAATTTTTGTCCGTTTTGTACGTGAAGTGGAGCCCACACTACCTTTTTCACTCTTCCTATCTCTCTCCACATTTCTCTCTCTTCATTTAACCTTTTCAATTTTTTAATAGTTTTTAGACACTTTACTTTGTCTCACAACACTCCCTTTTTACTTCCTCGGAAGAGGGGCCTGCCTTTGGTTGTTGGTAAATGAAGGATTGAATAGATAAACACAAACTACACAACAACTTACACAAAATAGGTAATCACAAATTGAAGTACACTCTACTAATAGTATGATTTAGAGTGTGGACCAAAAATGTATATCCACCGTCCAAGCAACTAATAAACGTACCACTTGTACTTTTAATTTCCATTAAATGGCGATCATGTACATTGTGCACATGGTATATCTATTAGACTATTACTAGATATATTAGGTAGTACTCTTTTGTACGGAGCTTTTTATGATACTCGTAGATGTGTTTGATGTATATTTTGTTTAGCGAATGTAGTTAATATGTCAAACTCTCTCTTTATATAATGTTTCGGTAAGTGATATATACTTTTTCCCTAAAAAAAAAAAAAAGTGATATATACTTTTAATTCTATCTATAAGATTCAGGGTTCGTTATATTCATCTGATTTTTACTTATCTAAACTTATTAAAATTTATTTTAGTTATAAATTAAACTTGGTAGCTCTGATTAACCCTTATCATAATTTATTTGAATTTATTTTTCTAAAACACTTATTAACTCTTATCTGAACTTATTAGCCATGAAATAAGTAGAAATAAAGCGAACAGAGCCTTATATAAATGTTTTACACTTTTAAAAATGACTGCCTTAAATAAGTTTTTCACAATTTGATATGTGAACCACTTATTTCTGACGCCTTTTCTTTTAACATGATTTGATGTTTGGTGTGTTGAATTATTTTGAGAATTGGAGACAAAATTCATGTAATTAATTAATTTACTTAGGATATGATGTTGTAAATTAAGTAAACAAGATTATTAAAGCAAATAACAAGATTAATTAACCTTGGTAAAAAGGTTGAAAGAAGGCAGAACACTTCGCGGTTTAGAGAAGTAATAGCAGCTGGCCCGGTTCACCGCCCGATCTGGGTGGTGCTCGCCCGATCGGGCGCGAGGATCAGTTCTAGAAATCGTCTCTGCCGCCCGGTCGGGCGGTGGCCGGCCCGATCGGGCACGTGTCAGAGGAGTTTAGAAACTGACGGTTTTCTCGTTAGTTTTGCTTGGTTGTTTAACAGTTACTTTGTGACTGTTGGTTTCTTTTGCTTTGTATATAAATATGTTCAGTGAACATATGTTGAGATACTTCAAGGAAAAGATCCGAAACTTAGTTTTCTCTTGAAGGTCTTTTGCAAACTCTATTTTTATCATCATCACAAATCACATACACTTATCTACATTATATTGTAATCATCCTACTTGTGATTGCAATTGTTCTTCGTTGTATCTCCTAAGTAAATTTTTGTGAAACCCGGTTGTAATATAGGGTCGGAATTATACTTTTGGGAAAGTGATTCCGTTCACGCCTCGAAGATTTTACCAGTTTATTTTGTTTGCTTTCTTTGTGACCCTTGTTAAACACAAAATCCCCAACATGGTGCGTTAATATATTCAACCCAATACCAAGCAACTAACTTCCCTAGTAAATATAATTTCCTTAAGCTTGGCATCTAATATTCATATGCTACATTTTCATCATTTCATATAAATGTAATGTAATACAATACTTCCTAGTAGAGCTGAGCAAAACTATTTGAAAAATCGATCTGTAATCGTTCTGAAAATTTGGGTACCCGATCTGATAACCATAATGGTTCGGGTATTTGTTCCGATAATTTGTTATTGGGCATGGTTATTGTGTATCATTTTAAAATTAATGGTTATCTGATCTGATCCGATAAGCATTTTTTAGCTTTTTTCTACTTAAATCTATTTTTTTAAAAATCTAATCTAATCTACCTCCGGTCCAAATTACTCGCAACTTCGGGGTATAATTTGTGAGATATAAAATATTCCAAAGTTGCGAGTATTTTGGACCGGAGGTAGTAATATCAATGATCAATAATATTATTAATAATTTGATCAAGATCATATAGTATTATTGTTAGTTAATGGTAAATGATATCATAATAACTACATAATTAAGTTTAATTATCATTATTGGATCTTTTTTAGTACTTATAACCAATTCTAAAATTTGAATACCCGAACTTATCGGTTTGGGTTATAAATATCACTTTTAGAATTTTTGTTTATTAGGTATCCAAACCAAACCGTTAATACGATACAACGATGGGTAACTCACCCATACTCACCCCTACTTCCTAGCAAAGTGACTAGAACTACACAGTGCACATTAATAAAACAATCACTAAAATTTTCACATCTCAATATCCATCCAAAAAAGCAAGGACAGATTCATTGTACAAAGAAGAAAGCTAAAATTTCATCTTTCTTCTTCGATACTTGAAAAAGTAAAAACCTTTAGAATAACTCCATTTGTGTAATGACATTGTTAGAGTATTTCAAAGTTTCTTTCGCCAATTGGCCGCACTTTACACCTGCCTACCCGTACTCCAACTTCACTGCTACGAGTTAAAAAAAAAACACTAAACCCGTACGTATCAATTTTAAATTAATTTTAAACAATATTATAACAGCCGTCCACCTGTTGAACCCTAATTGGTTCATTTCTGCCAACCGTCCAAATTGCGAAACCCAAGACCCGACTAACCCGTTATCTATCATATCATATCTACCATATCACATATCACATGGGATTTTTTTTACCTTTTCTTTTTTAATTTTTTCACCTACTTTGTAACCAAATGATGTTTTGTTTCACAATTTCCATTTGGGGTTAATCACATCATGTGACAATTCATCATAAAACTTAACTTGTTAGTGTTAGGATAGTTATTCGAGAGTTATTTTGTGTTATAAAGGTTATTCGTCAATGTTATAGAAGATATTCGGTCAGTATTATAGGGATTACTCAATTAATATTATATAGATTTTTCAATGAGTGTTATTAGAATTACTTTGTTTTTTTTTTTTATTGCATTAATTTTTAAACTTTGAAAATCCATGTCAAGTATAGAGAAACTAATTTTGGTATATCAATAATTGGGCACCCTAGTTATGAAAAAAAGTAATGAGTATACTAAAATCAATATTTGATACTCCATCCGTCCCTGAAAAAACGACCCATTTGGTCTAATTTTAGTCTCAAAAAGAATGACCCATTTGTTTTTCCCAACATCTATTAAAATCACAAAATTACAAATATATCCTCAAATATTTTTATCATGTAGCTCCTTCTCCCTATTTTACCCTTATATTTTTTTTCAGATATTTGTGTCATCTCCTCTCTAACTTTCTAAACTTTTTTTCACTCTTCTGTCACCATTAATTTTTCTTTTGTTTTCCCATATATTTGTATTTGCAAATTTTTGTTGACTTGTGTTGTCCTATACATTTGTACTTGTAAATTAAGTATTTTAATATCCGCAAAATCAACTCAAAATGGATCGTTTTTTGGGATGGAGGGAGTACGTCAAAATCTTTTTTCTATGTATAGTTATATTAATGGTAGTATTTTTTAAGTTTTATAAAATAATTATTTTAGTTTTTATTAAAGCACCTCCCATATAAATAACCTAATTCATCAAACTATAGTCTTTTCTTCACCACACAAACAAAAATACTCTTCCTTTCCACAATTATCTCCAACAACCAAAAAAAATCCCAAATCATTCATTCACCTTAATCAAATCCTCTCCCTTAGTATCAATCAATCAATGGGGGCAGACAATAACAACAACAATGGAGTAAAATCAGGAAAAAGAAGACTGATCTTCACCTACGGAACATTAAAAAAGGGATTCTCAAACCACCGATTAATGGTGGAATTAATGGCGGCCGGAGACTCAACCTACATCGGACCCTTCCGAACCGCAGAAAAGTACCCTTTAGTATGTGGACCATACAGGGTGCCATTCCTTCTGAACCTCCCCGGAAAAGGTGACATGGTATGGGGTGAGGTGTATTCTGTATCGGAGACGGGCCTCGCCCGCCTCGATGAGCTTGAAGGTGTCTCCCGCGGTCATTACCAGCGATTGCCGGTTGAGATAGCGGGTTTACCAGATATAGATTTGGGTACGGCAGAGGCGTATTACGCGGATGAATCGTATGCACAAGAGATGTGGAAGAGGAATGGTGAGGCTGGGTTTGTGAGTTATTCTCATAAGGAAGCTAAGGGTTATGTTAAGCGTCAAGATCGTCCTCAGAATGTGTCGTTTCTTCAACATATTTCTCGTTTTCTTTCTTCTTCTCCGACTAATAATAATAATTCTTGTTAATTTACTGATTTCTCCTTGCTACTAGTCATATTTCCTTCGTTTTAATAAAAAAAAGGGAAAAAAATTAAAATGTTTGCCAGTTGTTGGTTTTCGATTGGTGTTTTTATTTGGATTTTATGGTCTTTAGAGAGCCCCATCGCCCGCATGGGCGGGGTGGAGATCGATCCTGTGAAATCGGAAGGAAATCTCTAACCACTTAAAATATCCTTCACTCTCTTTAGATTTTGATTTTATATGGTTTATTTTACACTTAAGTGAAAGGAAGAATGTGTCTTGTTAGAAAAAAAAAAAGTGAGAAGTGTAAGATGAAAATTGTAGACATTTAGTAGTGCATATTTAAAGTATTCACTTCGTTTCTTTATTATATGCATTACTACTCATATAATAAAGAGAAATGAAAATCTAATTAAAGAAGGAGAGAGTAGTGAATATTGATTAATCTTTAATGTACTTTCGTTAAAAAAAAAAATTAATGTACTTAATACTTCGTATATGCATAGCACATTATGGTATTATTTGATTATCAATTATGTTTGTAAATATAACATATTAAATCCGTGCTCTAAAATTATTAATTCTTCACTTGCAAGTTGCAATTCACAGTGTTAAGTGCATAATTCAAGAGAAAAATTACAAATATTGTTTGCACCATTTACATTTACAAAGGAGTTAAGAAGTCAACTTCCCACCCCCAAAAGGTGGAAAAGACTCATTAACTATCCTACGCTTAGGGGTGAAACAAATTCGATTTAAAACCAAACCGAACAGAAAACCAAACCGAATAACAAATATGGTTTGGTTTTTTTTTTTAAGGTGGTTTGGTTTCGGTTTTGAAAAAAAAAAAATCGGTTTTTGGTTCGGTTTCGGTTTGAGAAAGTGAAAAACCGAAAAAATCGAGCCAAACCGAAATATAGGCCCAAACCCAAAAAATAACCCTAGCCCAACAGATTTACCCTAAGTATATAAATGAAAAAAAAAACCCTAATTCTCTCATTTCCTCTTCTCTCTTCTCCGCGGCTCCACGCTTCACCCTTCTCTCCTCTTCTGATCTTCTCAGTCTTCTCACTCACTCTCCTTTCCTCTTCTCAAGTTCTCAGTTCTTAGTTCTCACTTCTCCCCCTTCACTCTCTCTCTTTTTCTCTTCTCACTTCTCCACCTTCCATTCGCATCACCATCGACTAACCTTTCGAGGATTTTCGAACTCCATCAAGGGCATCAACTAAAGGGCTTTCATGTCAAATTCGACCATGAAAACACTAGATCTAGTGTTTTCATGGTCTAATTAGACTTTGAAACCCAAATTTGAGGAAAGGGTCGTTGTGTAGGGGTTTGGTATGACTGCTCTTTTGCAATTCTGATGCTGTTCTTGTTAAAAACTTGTTCAATTATGTTGTTAAAACTTGTTTGTATGAATTGGTTGGTTTGATTTTGTTACTTTGTTGTTAAAAATTGTGTAATTATGTGTATGGATTGGTTTTGATTTGATTTTGTTAAAAGTTGAAACTTGTTGAATTAGAAGTTTTAGAACTTGTTAATGATATTATGCTACTACAATACTGCTTTGTTGATGAATGAGGCCAAAAAAATTGCAGATTATTGGCCCAAATAAATTAGGCCCAAAAAATTCGGTTTGGTTCGGTTTCTTATTATGAAACCGAAATGAATATGGTTTGGTTTGGTTCGGATTCTAAAGTAAAGTGATGCGGTGTGGTTTTAAAAAATACAGAAACCGAATTAAAGTGGTTCGGTTTCGGTTTGGGCAAAAAACCAAACCGAAAACCGAACTTTTACCCCTACCTACGCTACTTATTCTTAGAATTTGGCCTCTCTATTTGCCTTGCTTAAAGCATTTACATAATTAATAAATTTACATTAAACTCTTTTACTAAATCACCAACTTTCAATGAAATTCACTATACACTGATTGTACCGAGGTGCGTATGATTTTACAAGGATATACCTATTACAAGATCTACAACATATCATAATACTAAGGATAATTTGTAAATAACCACCCAAAAAATAGACCAATTTTGATATAACCACCTAAATAATATTTTATTTTAAATTACCACCCATTAAATTAAAAAAAAACGCGCAGATTACCACCCATTTAGAATTTCCGGTGAAAATTCCGTCAGTGGGCCCCACCTTTATTAATTTTTTTCCTTTATTTTCCTTCTATTCTCTAGCTTTCTCACTCTCTCCCCGATTTTTTCACTTTCCTTCTTCCTACCTTCTTCCTTTCTTCTTCCCAACCACCACCACCACCACCATTGCTCCACCTTTCACACCACCTCTGGCAACCCTTAACCCCAGCACCACCACCGAAAATTGCTGCCCAAAACAGCCCCCTGCTTCATCTCGCAACATCCATCCTCACGCAAACAACACCAACCCACCCATCTCCTCCACCTCGCACAGCCGCACCAGCCATCGCAAGAAGCGCAAAAACAGAAGCAATTCCCTCCATATATCAGCTGTATAAAATTAACAACTTTTGTAATAATTGGTTTTGCTCAAAATTTCAGAAAACCCCCAATTCAATTAAAATAAGAACCCTAATTTAAGAAACCCCCAATCAATTGAAGCATGAACCCTAATTTCAGAAAACCCCCAATCCCCTCGATTTATTGCGGATGGGAATGTCGATGGGGTGGGAAATTTGGTTGGGGTGGAAGATGTTGCAAATGGGAATGTTGGTGGGGTTCATAATTGCAGATGATGATGTTGGTAATGGTTCATAATTGCAGCCAAGCCATCTCAATTAAATTGCTGCCAAGCCAAATGAGTAAATTACCCAACTCAAAAACTATTATCCTACACAATACCAAATTGAAATTGACAACAATGGAAAGAACAAAATCATCACAGCCTCAATATGATTAGTACTTCGTATAAAATAAGGGGGCGTTTGGTAAACGCAGAAAAAAAAAAAAAAAAGAAGGGAGTAGTAGTACTGTAGTATGGTTATTGTTGTTGTTGTTGTTGTTGATGATGATGATGATGATGGAATGGTGGTGGTGGTGGTTGGGAAGAAGAAAGAAAAAAGGTAGGAAGAAGAAGAGTGAAAAAATCGAGAAGAGAGAGTGAGAAAGCTAGAAAATAGAAGAAAAAAAAGGGAAAAAAAAGTGGGGCCCACTAACGGAAATTCCACCGGAAATTCTAAATGGGTGGTAATATGCGCGTTTTTTTAATTTAATGGGTGGTAATTTAAAATAAAATATTTTTTGGGTGGTTATATCAAAATTGGTCTATTTTTTGGATGGTAATTTACAAATTATCCTAATACTAACTAGGATGTTAGCTATGGCAGTAGCTATTAGCTCCGCAAGTAATTGTTAGCTGTTACATACGAAGTATATAAATTAATCTTCAAAAAGCTAATATTTTTAACTTTTAATAAAAGCTACCTCTACCACTAAACATTACTTGTACTATATAGTGGTAATACTCAATCTTTGAAAAGCTAGAATCTTTGAAAAGCTATAATTGAGTATAATGTTCAATCTTTGATCAAGTCAAATAAGTTTGGCCACTAGAATCTTTGAAAAGCTAAATTCTCTAAGAATGAAGAATTAAGTCCTTATAGTCCCTACCCTCCAGTCCACCATATTAAAATGTTAACTTAACAAATTAATTTATTAATTAACCAAGGAATAGATTCATTCAAAGTTCTACCTCTGACTTTCATTATACTTGTATTTCTTTTTCTAATTTACAATTGTAAAATAAAGTTCCCGCACATACTTCAACAAGTTAACAACACCCTTCATTTTAAAAAATTTATTAGTAATAGGTACAAAAATGATTAGCATACAAAAAACTAATTTCATATGTTTCGTAATACTTTATGTAATAAATGAGGGTCTGTTGTTCACTTCAGCTTATTTTCAATTCAGTTCCTAATTTTCTTCTTTCACAAAATATTTATTTTAACTCTATTCAGTTTAGTTCTATTCAGTACAGTCCAATCAATTTAGTTTAGTTCAGTAAATGTGAATAGGACAATATTATAGAATTAATTAAACAAAGAAAATAAAATAAACAGGAAAAAGAATGATGACGTAAAGTAATGCAAATTAAAATAAAATAAAATAAAATAAAAAATTGAAAGCCATTTTCAATTACGTAAAGTTGTAAAATTATATGCATAGATTATAGAAATGTCATCTCTCTTTATTATTAGAATATCATTATGTTTTAAAAAAAAAGAATATCATCATTGGGTGAAGGTAGAATCATTCTAGTAATCTGGATTATACTAAAATATTTTCTTAATTATTGTACTCTGCACTTCATACTTTGTAGTAGTTAACTCCACCGTATTAACTAGCCAGTTTCTTTCCAAATCAAAATGCTCATTCTGGACTTCCAGAGGCATGACCCATGGACGTCCCAAAAGACTCCACTCTTCCTACTCGGTTGCGCAACCGGTCATTGTGGACTCCTCTCTTTTAAATTAATTGAAAATTATACGACATTTTATACAACAGTTGCATATGACTTTTTAAGGTGGGATCGAATGATAAGAGGTATTCTAGTAACTCGTCCACAATTTGAAAACATTGATAGCAATTAGCAATTAATACCAAGTAGAATTGTTGCACCTAGAGCAAGAGTTAGGTCTCTCAAAACAAATTCCTGCACCACAATTTTATAGGGAAGATATTTGATTTTTGAGACTTGCATCCAATTTATACCCCTCTTGTTTGAAGATAGTTTGTCACATTTTACTTTTGCTACATAAACTTCCAACTTTGTGCGGTAGATATTTTCCAAGGCATATTTTGTGATAACCAATCTTGTATTTGATACTTATGGTCCTACTAACCATTACCAAAACTTTTGATACAACTTTCTTTATTCGCTTAGATTTTGTTCACCCCTACAAAACTCTAAAAGATGTCACTCATGACCTTCCATAGATATTTCACAAATTAGAGTTGAGTCTGGTGTCATCTATGGTTCATATGGCGTGTATAGATCTTATCGACCCAAATCGAGGAGACGATGCTCCTTTGATTTTCTATCAAGACTTTTACAATCAGTGAAGTTGTATTTCAAAACAGATCTTGCATCATTGCCACGACGGTTAACAGCATCACCTAAGCTAAACCGTTAGTTCTGAAGTATGTTCTTTTCTCATTCAACACAGAATAAAACAGAAAAGTTTGTGTGCTATTTTCAGGGCATCTTTATTTCATAAGTACAAGAGAATGAGCTCAACTGAGAGCAATAGATTGTTAAGACACCAGTGAAGAATGAATTTCTCGCAAAGCATTTACTGCACCTTAGCATTACTACCCTAAAAGCCATTTGCAATCCCTAACATGCTGGGCAAACCATAATAGCCCTGAGATACAAAATACTAACAACTCTCTTTTACTATTGTACAAGTACAACAACAACTTGGTCCTTCATCTCGACCCCTCCCTCTCCTAAGTTTATAGACTAATCATAGGACTCCACTCTTTGTAATTGTAGTTTGGTAAACAAAAAAAATGGCAGGACACTCAAACTTTACCGTCTTCACATTCATTTGCTTCCTTGAGGTGATGATTATGAGACCTACAACAAATAAAAATGGGATGAGAACTGGAAAGAATGGGAACTAGGAAACCTTGGAGAAATAGGGTGCACAAAGATCTGGAGCACATCATTCATCAAAAGATCTTCTAGTCTTATCTGTATTGCTAATGAGTGAATTTTTAATCTCCTTTTAAGAATCTTCGGTGAGTAAAAGTCATGGAAAACATGCATATGCACCAAAAAAGACTATCCCCGAATCTATTGAAATTAATTCTATATGTTGAGACCACCTCTACTAAATTACTTGTTTGTAGATATATGACACAACCTTAGCGGCTTTCCTCACGTGGATATATGACACAATCATAGCACTAGAAAGGGTAACCACCAAATTATCATAGTAAAGATACTCGTCCCCAATCCACACCACAAGAGCTAATGCTAGAAATCATAAGAGTTTCAACATAAGTTTGATAAATTTTCTAGCCAGTTGACTTCTAAACAGAAAAAACACAAGCAGTTCCTTCACATCATCTAGAACATTTACAACAAACAGCCACAGGTAAACCAACATGAATGATTGCCTTTGCTACCATGCACTGTGGTGTCTCACGATGAACATATTTCATTATACTTTCTACTTGGATTTCAAGTTCTTTTTAAGATTACACTTTGTCAAAAGCAGAGTGCATAAACCTGGCAGCAATGAAGGATCAGAGATGGTCTTGACTCTAGAACTAAAGCCCTACGTAAGATATTGGTCATGAGAAAATACCTACACCTCTTCTTCTTAGATAAAACTAGGATACATACAAAATGATAGATTTAGTTGAGCTGGTTTCTTCCCTTGATTCCATTTTCTTTCAGTAAATAAAACGACGTTTAACAGCCATATACTACTAAATTTCAGTCATTGAACAGTCCAATACTCATTCAACCACCATGCCCAATCACAAAAATTAAACTCATCTTTCGTCGAACTACCAAGCTAGGTGATTGATTACCTACTTGCTAACTGCTAAGCTAATAGGATATTTGAAAATTTCCAAATCTACAGGAGAGGAAGCAAAAAAGAACTCTGAATTTTTTTTACTCTGAATTATTTTTTGGAATCAAAGAAAGTCATTCCAGAGTAAATTTAGCATTGTCATACCAAAGTGAAGAGTGATTGATGCCAAGACCATTGCAGGTGAGTATCATTCCTTTGAACCTGGCAAGGTATTCCTGGATTCAGGATCAACATCAATGAATTAGTCATACCAATTAACAAACATAACTCACACAATAACCATTAACACAGAAAGCATATAAATTTTTTTAAGTCTCAAATAGAAAATTTAAGTGTACAGATAACCTTACCGGCAGAGAGTACTTATCAATCTCATAATCCCCACTTAGATCGTATTCGAGTCGTTTTGTAGGATCACTCAAAACTGACAAATCAAAACAGATGAACAAAAGAAAGAGTGAGAAATGAGAATTTAGCAGAAAGCCAACATACTCAAATACATAGAGAAAACAGGGTGACAATTAGTCAAGAAAAAATTCCTGGAATTCAAGAGATGATTCAATCATGACCACTAGTCCAGGAACATTGGAAAAGAAGTAGCAGTTAACATTGTTTCAAAAAAGCACGAGCACAGAATGACCAAAATACAGCGAACAAGAGCAGCCATTGGTTTTGAAAGGAGTAGTAGTGAATGATCAAATTAACAATGGACATACATCTGTGTTGATTGGGCGGAAATTTTCCTCTAAGAACGAAAATTAACAAAATAACAGTCAATGACATCAATAAAATGGCATTACCAGTGACAATGAAATCATATACTAATAACAGAATGCAGCTTCTCTCAGCCAACTTAATCACAAATTAATTATATACTACCTCCGTTAACGGTTATTTGCAACATTTACCAAAAACAGGTGCTATATATTATGTGCAACAAACTGATTTTTTTCCTCTTTTGGTAAGTTTTTTTGTTTGAAATGACCAAACTGCCCTCACTTAACCAACTTACTCCTTTAATTATTTCACTAACTATACTCTATTATAACCCTAACTTAACTCATCTAATCTTCTAAAGAAAAAAAATCAAATCTGTAAAAAAACCAAACCTCTCAACATTCATCTAGTTCATCACATTTCTCACTCCTCATTCATCATCATATTCATCAAAATCTCACTCACCCTTCGTGGTTCATCAACAAAATCTCTCTTTCCTCCTTCATCATCAAAATCTCTCTCCTCCACCATCAAAATCTCACTCCTCCTTCATCATCCCCATCTTCCATGGAGATCTAAAATTGGAGGTGGTTTTGTGCGGCACGAGTATCGTGGATATGGTGGTCAAGGTTTTGTGGTTTCGTGGGTGGATCTAAGTGTCGGGGGTCTAGGTGGTGTTCAAGCTTTCGTAGGTGTTGTGGGTGGTCTAGGTGGTGTTGGGTTTTATGGAGGTAGTTGGGATTAATTCAATTCGTGGTGGTGGTGGTTGGGATTAATTCAACTCGTGGGGGGAAGGGGGTGGTTTGATTGGGGATTTCGTGGTTTTGGTGGTTGTTTTCAGTGGGTTTGGTGGTTGTTTTCGATAGGTTATAGTGGTGGTTTTCAGTGGTGGTATTTAGTGGATTTTGGTGGTTTTCAATGGGTTTTGATGGTATTCGGTGGTGGTGGGTTCAGTAGGTTTGTTGGTGGTGGTTTTCGGTGGGTTCTGGGTGTCGGTGGTGGTGGTTTTCGGCGGGTTTTGGGTTTCGGTGGTGGTGGTTTTTGGTGGGTTCTGGGTTTCAGTGGTGGTGGTGTATCTGGGTTCTGAGTTTGGTGGTTTATTGATTTTGGTTAATTGTGGTTTTTAAAAAATTAGATTAATACTTAAATACTACCCTTGTATTTCAATAATCATGTTTTAAAACTTTCGCCTAGGAGTCCGCGCATGTCCCTTTCGTTGCAAATAACTGTTAACGGAGGTAGTATTTAAAAAAACATAAGAAAGTTGCACTATAAGAAAATCAAATGATCAATGAATAAGAAATACATCTCCCCATAAACTATACAATTGGGATAATGTCACGGTCAAATGCATAAATGGATTGGTGGTTTCAAATCAATTCCAAGTACCTTGTTAGTATAATGTAATTAGCATAGAGAATACCTCTGTAAGCTTCGTTAATATCTTGAAATTTGGCAGTAACAGCACTATCGTCCTTGTGCTTGTCCGGATGCCATTTCTGTGAAATCAATGTTGAATAATGTGAGCATAACAACACACCTAAATTTCGAAGCAAAAACTTCATGAACTCAGCAATGCCAATAAACTATCAAAATGAACTACTTAATCGATAGTTCAAATATAGGATTATAGGTTCAAATATAGGATTGAACTCACCAAAGCCAGCTTTCGATAGCTTAATCGTATATCCTCGTCCGATGCATCATAATCAACTTCCAAAATCTTGTAATAATCCTTTGTCATAATTAATCCCAGTTAGGTAACATCTCACAGCAATGACAACCCTAAACTTAAACGGAAGTTAAATTTCAGATTTATAACAACAAATATGCCAAATTTACACAAACCCAATTACACATTAAATCAAATCATATGAAATATACAGAAGAAAACTGAAATTAAGTCAAATATGAGGAAGATTAATGCCCCAACATAAAAACCCAGTTCAAGAAAGATTCACGATATGTGCTTATCATTCAAAATTCCTTCCTTTCTTCACCCTAATTACACAAATTTATACATTCTTGACCTAATTTACATCAAATTTTGCAAGAAAAAAAAAAAATTCAGATAAACCCCAGAATAAATTGAACAGCTTACAATACAATTCCATTAAAAATCTAACTAGAAATATATAATTTCATCAAACCAAGAACATTAATTTAATTTTTAGAAATGTAATTAAATTAAAATGCATAGAATGAATACCTTGTAAGTGGTGGTGTTAGAAGAAGTGTAATCATTGTGTTCCATCTGAAGAAGAGATTATGTTATATTCTAAATCTAATAAAGTTGTAATCTTTACACACTTCATTTGAGAATTTTTACTGCGATTAAATTAAATTATTGTTCTTCCCGGAAAAAATAATTTAAAGAGGTAATTAAATTAGATTTGTAAAGGGAAGGAAAGACGGAAAAACGCAGGATTTCTCAGAGATTGTAGGCTTGTAGCTTTGCCTGTAAAGGGAAGGAAAGAGGTACTGAAGAGAGAAGAATTTATTTAGTTTTTTTTTTTTTTTCTTTTTAAAATTTCACTCACTATTTATTTTTTTTTAAAAAATTCCATTATCTACTATACACGTGCGGCGCATGTTGCTCCATATTTTTTTATTATTATTATTTTTTAACATGTTGTTCCAATCTGAAATATTAGGGAAAAAAAAATAAAAAAAAAAATCTCCTTCATATTTAATTGTATTTTGTGTAATTAATTCATTATCCTCTATGCATGTTTGGAGGATCTGGCTTCCATTCTCAATTTTCTTTCGTTTCCGTGAGATTAAAATATAATTTTCTAAAAAATATTGCAAATAATATAAAACGAAGATATTTTAATACATAACTAGCCTTCCGGCCCGTGCAATGCACAGCTTGTTCATAGAAAATTGCATTGAGAGATGAGTGAAGAAATACCAATAAATAATTATGAGTGTAATATGTAACTGAAAACATAATTAAAGAAATAAAATTTTGGGACTTTAATTTAAAATAAGACTTAATAGAAAGAAGATGGAGGGATTAAAATCAAAGAGAGAAAATAAAAAGGTTGAATTAAAGAGGGGAGATGAAGATAAAGTGTTTAATGAAAGAGTTAAGAAGAATTGTATAATTAAAAATAAAAAATATAAAATGACATATGGCACATTGAGTTGAAGAAGATAATAGGGAAGTGTAATACAATGATGACATATGTTTTTTTTTTGTTTGGTTTTTAAAATACTAACTAGCATTTTGGCCTGTTCAATGCACGGGTTATAACTTATGTTATTTTTATATAAATCTATGCTTTTCAATAGTTGAAACTACGAAATTATTGTTACATGACTTTTGAGGTGAATGCTGTGAAAACTTATAAAAAAAAATGAGGGTGGAATTGTGGAAGTTATGAAGGAATTTAGTTAAGTATATATACATGAATATTGTACAATATGAAATGACATACTTCGTATTAGTTTAAGCTATATTTTAAGTTTAAGAGATAAAAAAGACTATTTTTTATTATACTTCATATGTTTATGTAATAATTAATTCAACTTTATTCTATCATGATAGAAATGAAACACTTCATTTTCTTACTTAAATGTGCAAGTTACGCATAAAGACTTTAACATTATGTAATATTTTTAATTTAATTTTTTAATATTAAAAAAGTAAGGGAAGTAACATGTGGCATATGAGTGAGTTGTGAGGACATGTGGCATATGAATAAGTTGTGAGGACATGTGGCATATGAGTAAGTATTACCCACTACCAGGTATGGGTAATACTACCCAATACCATTATATAATTTTTTATTTTTTTTTTCTTTCCCCCCCTTTTTTTTTCCTTTCTTCTTCCTCCTTTAAACCCTTTATCCACCTCCATGGATAGCTCCTATTGTCTACCAAACATCCGCCCACCACACCTTCACCTCCTACAACAAGAAATCCACCCTACCAGCTACTACCTTGCAACTACCTCCGTTAAAAATCATCGGAAACCACCCAAAAAACATAACCCAAAAATGAGAGACACAAACTTATGGCTCTAGCCATTAAAATCGGTGAGTTTTATGTTGAAAATCGTTGAGTTCGATCGAAATTGACAACATTAGCCATTAAAATCGACGAGTTCTCTGCTGGAATCGTTGAGTTCGGTCGAAATTGACAACGGTACCTGTTTGTCGGTGCTCAGTTATTACTAATTTCTATACTGTTATTGTTGGTTTGTGTATTGTTATTCTTGGGTTGTATACTGTTATTCTTTACTTGTATACTGTTATTGAGAGGAGAGACACTACATTTTTACAACATGGGTAAATTTTTTGTGAAAATACATTTTTGCCCCTGGTATGGGCCCAACGAGTCCATACCTGGTAGTGGTCTATCACTACTCTGTGGCATATGAATGATGGTGGTTTTAGTTTTTAAATACTAATAAAATAAAGTATAGAAGTATAGATTAGTCGTATGTTTATCCATATTATCTTTAAAATTAGCGTATTACATACCCGTTTCATATCCATAATCAACTTTGTACCCATATTTGGGCGTTCATATTATATTAGAGCTGTCAATTCGAGTAAACGGGTCGAGTTTGGGTCGGGTCAATTCAGATTAATTCCATAACCTATGCGAGTCGGGTTTGGGTTGGGTCATGCTTGAGTCGGATCACATCGGGTCATGCTTCTTATCGGGTTTGGGTCGAATTTAGGTCGGGTTAAGAACAGGTCGGGTTACATTCGAGTCGGGTGAACAATAGGTCAGGTTTAATTCGGGTTAAAACGGGTTAGGGTAATTCTCAGGTGCGAGTCGGGTTCAGTTCAAGTCAATAATTTACGAGTTAGAATCAGGTCGAGTCATTCTCGGGTTTGAGTCGGGTTCGGTTCAAGTCAATAATTTGCGGATTATAATCAGATCGGGTCATTTTCAAGTCCGGTCAAGTCGTGTTCGATTCAAGTCAATAATTTGCGAGTTATAATCAGGTTGGGTCATTTCCAAGTCGGGTCATTTTCTTATTCAAGTCGGGTTATGTTCAAGTCAATATTTTGCAGGTTACAATCAGGTCGAGTCATTTCCAAGTCAGGTCATATTCAGATTCAACTAACTACTAATAGATAATTAGCATATATACTAGGGAATTATAGTCTATAATTTAGGAAGATAATTATTTCCTTTGACCATACAACAAGTATATACTATATTTAACTCTTAAATTTGTGGATGATGCTCATTTCTTTTGTTGGCCCGGACCGACTTGGTCGCCCAAGACAAAATGATTTGATCAACAATAATAAGGTGGTCTAAATTACATTTAAGGTGATTTGAAATCAGGTCAGGATCAATTTGGGTTGAATTTAGGTCGGGTCAATAACAAGTCGTGTTAATTTCAAGTTGGGTTAGTAATAGGTATGGTAAACTCGGGTAGAATTTTTGGGTTGGGTAAGTAATAGGTATGGTAAATTCGGGTCGGGTCAATAACAAGTCGGGTTGAATTTGGATCAGTCAAGATCTAACGAGTCAAGTTGATTTCTTGTCGGGGTTGTAACAGTTTGGATTAAATTTGGGTCGGGTTTGTAACAGGTTGGATTAAATTCGGGTTGGTTAGGAACGAGTTGGGTTGAATTCGGGTTTTGATGGGTTAAAACGGGTTTGGGTCAATTTCAATTCAAGTCGGGTTCGGTGCAAGTTAATTAAATTGGCCGTTGTAAACAGGTAAATCGGTGCAAGTTGTAAACCAGTAAATTGGCCATTTAAAAGAAAATTGAATGGTACCACACACCCAATTGGACTCCCGAAGGGTATTAGGGACCTTGTTAAACATTTCGGCAATTTTTATTTCCGGGCGAAAAAAAGTCAAAATAATTCCAAAATTGAGGGCTAATATACACGCTTTTTGATAAATTTTACAGGTTTCGGGGCCCATTGTTGAAAAGTCTTGAAATTTTAGGGGATACTGTAGGAGTTTATAGGTATGAATGCGGAAAACATGAATCATATTCATACAACACCTAATCCCAAGTAATGTATGGTTGGTGCACCCGGGTGCGCACCATGCGCATGGTGCACCCGAAAAGAACATAAGGTATATTTTAAAAAAAACATGGGCAAAAAAAAAACATTATATATATTTATAAAGAACATGAGCATAATATGTTCTTTAAGTTTGATGATTATGTTCTTTGAGTTTGAACTATATGTTCTTTATATTATACAATATGTTCTTTATATTATACAATATATTCTTTAATGTATGTACATTAAAAAAAAAAAAAAAAAATCAATCACTCGATTAACCAGAAAAAAGAACATGTTCTTTAATGTATTATCATGTTCTTTTTGTAAAGACTTTATATTTTTTGGCTAGAGGTGATCAAAGTTAGAACGGCCCGACCCGATTTTGGACGGGTTTTGGGCAGAATTTTTTCGCCCCGCGGACCCGGCCCTTAAATTTAATTTATTGGGCGGGTTTGGGAATGCGTTTTATGCATTTTAGTTGATTTTTTTACTCGACCCGAAAAGCCCGCACGGCCGGACAATTTTGGGCACAAAAACTTCGGCCTAAAATTTGGCCCGACCCGAGAAGTAAGCTGATTTTTTAACCTTGGCCCGGCCCATCCAATGATCACCTACATCTTTGTCAAACACGAACATGTTCTTTTTTGTCAAATATAATGTTCTTTTTCAAACACATTCAACACCTAAATAACCATGAAAAATAACATGTACGTTTTGTAAAGACTTTATGTTCTTTGTAATGTCATGTTCTTGTCAAACACAAACAAGTTCTTTTGTCAAACATAGGTATGTTCTTTTTCTAACACTAGCATGTTCTTTTTTTGCCCATGTTCTTTAAAATATGTCTAATGTTCTTTCCAGGTGCACCATATGCATGGTGCATGATGTGTCTATTTTATATAGTATTTTACCCCCATCCCTTGGTCATAATTAGTAGTGTTTTTGGCTCTTTAGATCCACTTTTATTACTAATTGGTGTTTTCTAGTGTTTTCGTTGATTTGGTTGACTTTTGCAGGAATTTATACTTTTGGAGTATTTTCCCGAGATATTTTGGAGCAATCACGAGCATTGGAGAAGCACGACCAGATTCTATAGCCCAGGGCCGGTTAGAGCCATCGAACCGGTGATTAAGGGCTCGGTATAGGTGATACCGGGGCATTTGGACCGAGTATTCAAGACCGGAAGAGGAAACCCAGATTGGCCCGAAGAGTTGGAGCCCAATCGTAGTCCAAATAGTGGCCCAAATGAACCGCCCGGCCAAATAGGCTGGCGCCCAGAGGCGCGCCCGGCCGGGCGAGAGAAGTTAAGGATGGCGCCCGGTGATGCGCCCGGCCGGGCGCGAGATTAGTAGTAATGAGCAAAAAGGCGCGCCCGATCGGGCGGTGCCTCGCCTGATCGGGCGCGTGTATTTCTTAGGAGACGTTTAACGTCGTTTTAATTTGTTTTAGTTTAGGATTTTTGTACGGAGTATAAATACTCCTCCGTAATACGATTTTAGCATCACTTCTTCTCTCTTTACTCTTTCCTTACTCTCTTAATTGTTCTCTTAGATTTCTTTCTCTAAAAACCTTTGTTCTTAATTCTACTCTTAATTCCAGATTTATTTTGGTAACGATTTCTCTTCCCTTAATCTTAGTTGTTTATTTTATTCCTTTCATCATGACTTATTTTATTACTTTGATTAGTTTAGTTTTTAATATGTGTGAGTAGTTTTATTTCTAGGGTTTATGGGGATCCATAAATAATATGAAGGGGTAAATTGTTGTTGTTAATTATCAATGCTAGATTAATTTCCTATTGATTGATTTAATGCTCTGTGACTAGATTAGGCCTAT